ATTAGAATAATACATTTTTGAAACTTTTTTTAATAAAGTAAAATATATAAAATTTTAATCCTATATTATTTTAATATTTTAAAATGAATATCCTTATTGATAAATGTTATTTTTAAATATAGCCTATAATACTAAAATGAAATTTGTTTTTTATTTAAAATAAAATAATACTTAAAAATTTGCATCAGTAAATAAATTTTCATGACGATAATATTAGGAATTTGTCTCATGCTTAATTTTATGCCATTTGAAATTTCACCATGTAGAAGAGATAGTAATATAGAGCAATAAAAACAGAAGAAATTACTGTGATATTATGTTTGGTTTTTTAATATTTTTTGCAAAAATATAGAATGATAGTACAGTGTTTTTCAGAATATTTGTATTAAACATTATTTTATAAAATAGCACTTATTGGACCAGTTTTAAAAGAAAATATTATAAAAATAAAAAATTCTACAAGCGAACCCAGTTTTTAATTTTATTCTGTTCTACACAACGAGCTACGCAAAAGTTATGTGAACAACTTTAACTTATCAAAAACTGTATTAATAATACACTTTTTTAAAGTTGTTAACATAAATACTTATTATATAGTTTACTGATATAATCAATAAAAAAAGAAACATTTTAGTGTTTAATAGAATTATTAATAATAATAATACTATAGATATTAAAATTATAGAACTAATTTCTTTATGCAAACCGTATCTCCCTCGTTAAAAAGAATTATTCGTTTGTATATTAGCCTCGTTCAATATATACCATGCTTAAGTTTTGAATAAAACTACTGAGAAATCGAATTAAGTTAAAACTTTATGTTAAAGTCACGAATGAAAAAATAAACTTTTTGAATACTATAAAAAAAACTATAATTTTATAAATAGTATATTAAAAAAATATAATTTTATAACGGATATTTCATCAAGTACATTAACAATTCTACGAAAAATTAGGTCAATTCAATCGATAATCTAAAATATGAATAATATTTAAGTATTATATTAAACAAAATTTTATTAAATTAAAATTCTAGTTTTGCAGTCTAATTTAACAAGATGCTTTCTTAAGTAATTTTAGGTTATGAAATTTTTTAAAGGTACTGTACCTGTAATTTGAGAGCTAGTGATTTAAATAATTACAGAATCTCCATGAGAAAATTATAAACATTATAAACATTACGTTTAGTAAAATAAGAAAAGCAAAAACAAAATTAATGTCTTTATAATGAATATAAGCAGTGAATTCTTTTAAAGTAAATTAGTAACTGTAAATTCAAACAAAAAATTTAATAATTGAATAAACTTTAAATCACATATTACAATATAATTGACAATATATTACACTTCAATACAATTTTAAGTGTAATATGTTAATATTATTAAACAAATAGTTTTTATTGACTTCAATAAAGATTATTTGATGAAGGATTTCGTCATATAACTACAAACAAAAAGATATTACATGTTAAAAAGATTTTATAAAACTACATATATAGCAAAAAATTTTAATTTAATCATAATCAAATAATTTAACAAAACTGTTCAGCTATTTTTCATATTCTGAATAATCAAACAGAAAAATTATTGAACATATATATTATTTTAAATACTAAGTATATTAAATTAAAAATATTTATATAGCATTAGTCTGTACATTTGGTTATTTTTTCTGATAAAACTTGAAATATATTCGCCCTTTGCTAACTATACTTTTTCATTTTATTAGCATTTTATAGCAGATTTGCTTCAAATTAATGTTGATATATTGATATTTACTTAAAAATTAAACTCGTATATTTATAGAATTTAAAAAAAATTTATAAGAGATAACAATGACTTTCACTTCTCAAATTTAATTTTTTTATTTCTAAAACTCTATGGCGATTTTGAAAGTGAAAAACAGTTATAAATTATTGAAATCTGAAAATATTAACTATGCACTACAGCAATATATCTTAAATATATATAGGAGATATATATGTATATTGAAATATATAGTGAACTAATATATATATATTGATTCAATATATTCCAAAGCAATTTCGAGACTATCAATAAAAATACTGTCAAATATGATCTAAAGGTTAGAAATCTTTTCATCATTTTTACACTCTAGAGAATGATTTATTGAGAAAATAAGCCTACTCGAAAATCATCTAATGATTGAAGTCAAAATCATTGTAATGTGGAATTTTGGAATTGGTTTAATTTATATTTAAAAATAATTTGTACTTTATTAGGCTAATAATAGCCCTTACGTAAAATAAATATTTTTATTCCTAAAACTTGCTTTTTCTGTTAGGAAACTAAAACATTTTCCTTATCATAATAATCAACGTTAGATTTGCAAAACCAATTGCATATTTAATGATATACAGTAATTTGCAACACTTTCAGCGGACAGGTGACATGGTATACTTTTTTAACTGTACTGTATTAACAATACAGTATGATACAATAAATAATTTATAATTTTATATTTCGTTACTTTATGATTTAATACATTGCATCCTTATCTATGTGAATTAAAATAAGATTTTAATCCTATATTATTTTAATATTTTAAAATGAATATCCTTATTGATAAATGTTATTTTTAAATATAGCCTATAATACTAAAATGAAATTTGTTTTTTATTTAAAATAAAATAATACTTAAAAATTTGCATCAGTAAATAAATTTTCATGACGATAATATTAGGAATTTGTCTCATGCTTAATTTTATGCCATTTGAAATTTCACCATGTAGAAGAGATAGTAATATAGAGCAATAAAAACAGAAGAAATTACTGTGATATTATGTTTGGTTTTTTAATATTTTTTGCAAAAATATAGAATGATAGTACAGTGTTTTTCAGAATATTTGNCGGCCCTTTCACTTCTAAAAATTTGCGTAATTGTGTTAAACTACTATAAAGTAGTGCAACATTTGATTGCTAATAACTCTGATCAACACTTT